ATATTAATTAAACTATAATGAATCATATAAATGACTTTAGAGCATCAAAAGTATAATATTTAATACAAATCAAAATTTTATATCATTGACATTGGATTTTTTCCCATATAAAAAAGTTTTACATAAATTGTACTATAATTAAGCATTTTTGTGTTTCCAAAGTGTTAAAATATTGTATTGTCACCGGGAATACGTGTGCATTAAAAATTTAAGCTCGTTTGGAGCAGTAGAAGTGGTCGAAAAATCGATTACAAAAGTACGAAATTTTGCGGACAATCAATCAATCAATCAAACAGATAAGAAAGCAAGTTAAGAAAAACGTAGTAAAAATGGAAACAACCGAAATCAAAACAAGCTAGCAGGTCGCTATCCTCAAGAACAATCTGGTCAACGGACTTATCATCGACAAGAACAATCAAACGGACCAGTTCAGCAGACGCCAAAATCCCAATCGAGAAAGGATCTTGTGGCTCCATCAACATCTGGAAGACAACAGCCAGCTTATCAAAAACAACCTCCAGTCAACCAAAAAACAAAGAACACAAATCCTTTTTCAAATCAAAAACCTTCAAATAAGCAAACCAACAAAAAATGGCAGAAAAAGAAGGATTATAGAAGAAGAAAAAGGGGAAACAAGCAAAACAGTAAAAACATTCATCAAGACCACTGACGAAGTCTTCCCTGAGTCTTCATACAATAGCCCGAACATACAATGAGTATACTCAGAGCACATTATTTGTGAGCTTGCAAACTTTTGTGAGAATGTGCTCATTTCATACATTAAAGTGATGCGATCACGGTACCTTTTTGAGTATGTTCAGTGAGCACATTCCTTTGTGACATGCATTAAGCTCACTGAGTAAACTCATGAGCATACTCAAATGAGAAGGCAACATGGCACACGCAACATTTTTTTAATGCAACATTTTTTATTGAATATACTCATAAACATACTCAAAGAGCTTATACTCATGAAGATACTCAAAATATATATGCGCAGTGAGTTTATTTATGAGTATATGCTCATCTGAGCACATTCATGAGTGCAATCAGTTAAAGTCGCCAAATTCAAAAAAATTAATTAAGTTAAATTTGAGTTTTATAAGGATAATTCTGTGAATAATTTTGGAAGAGTTAGAAATTATTATTAACATTTTATCTCAAATACTTAAGAAGGAAGTTTTAAAAACCGGTCACCCATCCTTGTTGAAAACCCTATTGCGTTGCTTAACTTCTGTCACCTCACACTTTTCCTTGGAGCAATTTTCTGTAAATATATAATAATTTTTATACGGCAAAACACATACTTAAATTATTATATTATTACAGGCAAACTAAGTTCTTTGAAGTTTGAAACGCTGCTTAATTGAACTATATTTTTATGAAATATTTGAGTTTATCAAAGCACGATCGTGAGAACATATTATGAAAAATGTCGACCAACTTAAAATTAAACTTAGAATACATTTTTATATTAGTCGACATTTTCAAAAATGTCGACCAACTTAAAATCAAACTTAGAATACATTTCTATGATAGTCGTCATTTTCAAAAATGTCGACCAGCTTAAAATCGAACATCTAATACATTTTTATATTAGTCGACATTTCTAAAAAATGTCGACCAACTTAAAATTAAACTATGAATACATTTTTATGTAAGTCGACATTTTCAAAAATGTCGACCAGCTTAAAATCGAACATCGAATACATTTTTATGCAAGTCGACATTTTTCAAAAAATTACCAACTTAAAATTAAACTTAGAATACGTTTTTATGCAGGTCGACATTTTTTGAAAATATTTTATGAATTTAAATATTCGTTCCATGAAAGCCAAAAGATTTTGATCGTGCTTAATTCTTATAGTTTTTTAAAAGCGAAGTAATTTTTAATTTAATTCCTTGAGAAACTCTTGACATTTATTTCAGAAAACTTAAAATTGTAAAAAGTTTCGTACATTTTTGTATTACATATCTAAAATATTCAACATTTGCTTTTAAGTTGGTTGACAATTTTTTAAAAATAACATTTTAAAAAATCCCTAGCGAGACTAACTAGCAAATTGCTAGTCTTTCTATTTTACTACTTGCAATTTACTAGTAATTATTAAAACAACTTAATATTAGAAAATTACACTCGCTATTTACTAGCAAATTACTAGCAAATTACCATGTAAAATGTTTGATCAAATCTTCTTAAGTTCGAATCCTAAGTAAAATCATCAAAAAAAGAATTTTTTGCGTCATAAAAAATTTTGTTCTAAATTTGGCATTTGCCATATACTTCACAAGAGCGCGCAGAAATCACCTTTATAAGATCGATCCAAATTTGTATGTGACTTTCAAATAATTATTTATCTTCCTCAGGTTTGCGTGCGAGTCATGGGTGTTCATCAGTATTCGACTTAATTAAATTAAGTCTTTTATTTTTTTTCATAGTGTTAGTGTACTTTAATTAACTTTAAATAAGAACACACTAATACTTTTACAAAAATTTACACAAATAAAAAAATCAAAAAAACACGTGGAAATCAACGGTTATATTCATTTAAATTTTTTACAAATTTGCTAGTAAATTACTAGTTAAATTGTAAACGAATTGACTAGTCAATTAGCAAGTGAAAATGCGGGTCTTTGGCGATGATTTGAACTTGGATTTTGACTAGTAAATAGCAAGTAGCAAATGGAAAGTTATCCAGTAAATTACTAGGAAATTACTAGTAAATTTCTGCTAGGGAATGTCAACTATCATTAAAATATATTCTAAGTTAGATTTTAAGTTGGTTGACATTTTTGAAAATGCCGACTTACATAAAAATGTATTCATAGTTTAATTTTAAGTTGATTGACATTTTTTTAAAATGTCGACTAATATAAAAATGTATTCTAAGTTTGATTTTAAGTTGGTCGACATTTTTTAAAATTCACATAAGTATGTTCTTAATATTCTCATGAGTATGTTCAGTAAGTGCACTCATATGAGAACGTAAAAAAATTATGTCACACAGAAGTGAGTATGTTCTTAATATTCTCATGAGAATGTTCAGTAAGTGCACTCATACGAGTATATTCACATAAGTATGTTCTTAATATTCTCATGAGAATGTTCAGTAAGTGCACTCATACGAGTGTATTCACATAAGTATGTCCTTAATATTCTCATGAGTATGTTCAGTAAGTGCACTCATATGAGAACGTAAAAAAATTATGTCACACAGAAGTGAGTATGTTCTTAATATTCTCATGAGAATGTTCAGTAAGTGCACTCATACGAGTATATTCACATAAGTATGTTCTTAATATTCTCATGAGAATGTTCAGTAAGTGCACTCATACGAGTGTATTCACATAAGTATGTTCTTAATATTCTCATGAGTATGTTCAGTAAGTGCACTCATATGAGAACGTAAAAAAATTATGTCACACAGAAGTGAGTATGTTCTTAATATTCTCATGAGAATGTTCAGTAAGTGCACTCATACGAGTGTATTCACATAAGTATGTTCTTAATATTCTCATGAGTATGTTCAGTAAGTGCACTCATATGAGAACGTAAAAAAATTATGTCACACAGAAGTGAGTATGTTCTTAATATTCTCATGAGAATGTTCAGTAAGTGCACTCATACGAGTGTATTCACATAAGTATGATCTTAATATTCTCATGAATACACTCGTTGAATGTACTCACGTGAGCTTATAAATTTTTTGCAAAAAAATAAAGTGAGTACATTCGTAATGAACTCCTGAGCATGCTCAGTTGAATGAGCTTGCATGAGTATAATTTTTGAGTAGACTCACTTATATACTCACTTTTCTGAGCATGCTCTTTGTATGTTCGGGTAGCACATCGAGTAATCAACAAGCACAGAGCACCATCACAAGCGATGAAAGTATAGCAGAATCAGTGAATTCAAAATGCAGGCTTCTAATCATCGAGCTCGTTAAATTCCTCACCGAAAATCCCGACTGTAAGGAACAGTTGATACAAGCAATCGGCTCAACCAACAGCCAAAATCAACACAAACAATAATGGATTGTTGTCAACAACGCATCAACGTCCTCTACTGGAATGCTAACGGCCTGACCAACAAAATGTTAGCATTTCTCGACTACCTAAGCAAGCAAAACGTCGATGTTGCTTGCATCTCAGAAACATTCTTAAAACCAAACTCAAAATTGACTCGCATCCGGACTACGTTATTCATCGATTGGATCGTGTGGGGAGGCAAAAAGGTGGTGTTGCAATCATCGTCAAAAGAAATCTAAAACATCAGCTTCAGCCAAGGAACAACACAAAATTAATGGAATGCATTGGGATGTTGGTTTATAGTTCCGGACATGATTAAATGCAACTGAATCTTGGCTTATTTTCTGTTGGATCTATGTTTTTGGTTGCAGACTTGACTTGAATAAGAATTAACTGATCTACGCGAGGAAAATGCGCTTATTTTGTCCGTTCACATCTGTAACGGCGACTTCTACACTAGTTGTCAATCCTCTTTAACAGCGAGGTCTTGTGAAATAGCTAGCATCATCGTTACTTTCATCCGATTTTAAGTTTATTTAGAAGCTATGAAATTCAACTGGTATGTAATGAAGCAGGTCAAGAATATCTTTCTTTTTTGCAGAAGAAATACATCGTTCATTTGGATATGACAAATTAGGGATTACTTGAAATAAATTAATCAGTTCGTTTCCACGTTTTGAGATGTCAATCACCGAGAAATCTTCATCAAGAAAACTGTTCTTAAATTTTATTTGAAATGGATGTTGTTTTTCCAGCCGAATCCAAGTCTTATTAATTGTAACTCGTCTATTAGTGATTGAAGACTCAAGTTTTTTTGTTGAAAAAAAATCTTGCCGTGACATCGAGTTTACCTTAAATTCTTCGTTTCTTGTGCTCTTAATTATATCGATGGAATTTGATGGCAAAAATATTTCAGTTTGCAACTTCATTTTTCGCTCTATCAAAGCAAAATCGCGATCATTTGGCAATCTTCAATGGCCAGAAATTAAATACTTTACATCGATTATTTCAGCTTGCATTGTCGGATCGCTAAGAAGACGTAATAATGCCAAAATAATTTTGATATTACGATTTTGGCCTCCTGCTCTATCGGAATAAGAAACAATGTGTGAAGCAGATGACGCATGATCCTTTAAAAACTTGACCAAACAACTTGAAATTTCTTCTGGGCCTTTAGATCCCTCAATCTCTGACCAAATAAACATACTCGTATCCTGGTTGTTTAGAAAAGGATGAACACCAAGATTATATAAATTGAATTTTTGCTTATAATATGCAACACTTGTTGTTAGTACTGGAAGAATAAGCACTTTTTGGAGATCAAACGTGTAAACGAAATAATCATCATCGGCTCTCTCTTTATCTGAATCAAAAAGCCTCTTAACATTTTCCACATCTTTTAAATGCGCATCTTTTTGAGCTATTAATTTGTTTCGCTTGCCTTCATTCTTTGCATGTTGAATCTGTACTTTTAATTTGTCACATTCCGCACAAGTCTTGCCTTGTCTTGCAAGGGTACGTGAATTGAAATGTCGGTATCATACTGAATTATATCATAAAACTTTTCCTGGGTAACACATGGAATCTTATTACTCAAATTACAATGAGTCAGATAATCTTGATAAAAACGTTTTATTGTATAGTTCGGTGGGAGGTACTTCTTATTTTCATTTTTGGCACGACAATAATGCGATTCATACAAAAATTCAAAAAAAAGAACTTAATTTAATTAAGTCGCATACTGATAAACGCCCAAGACTCGCACACAAACCTGAGGAAGATAAATAATTAATTGAAAGACCCAAACAAATTTAGAGAGAACTTATAATAGTCATTTCTGCGAGCACTTGTGAAGTATATGGCAAATGCAAGATTTAGAACAAATATTATTTTCTTGCAAAAAAATATTTTTTTGATGATTTTTCGTAGGATTTGAACTTAAGCGGGCTCGGGTTATACTTCGATGGAACACTTTTGTTACATATTTGTAAAACAAACATTTTACATATAATAAATAATGATACATTTGATCTTCCATCGACTTCGAAGTAAGATTATATGGAACATTTTGGTTACTTGGTACGGATAGTTTGCAATAAATTCCATAACATCTGTGCAATCAATTTTTCGCGAAGACTGTTTTCCAGTACTTTGATGCACTAATTTGGATGGCTGGCGAATTTTAGCCCACCGTTGAATTGTTCGTTGTGAAAGCATAAAAGTATCCGCAAAGAAGGTCAAGCAAACCTGAATTAAAGTTTTGTTTCAGAAAAATTTTACCAAAAATTTAAAATATGAATATACCTTTTCGTTTAATGTACTTCCCGGAATCACAGAACGCAATGTGTATTCAATATTAAAACTTCGTTTCTTAACATTTTTTCCCTGTCTTCGAACGATTTTTTGCAAATTTGTCTTGCCTATTATAAAATTTTTTTGACTTGTTACCTACCGAGACTAACTAGCAAATTGCTAGTATTTCTATTCTACTACTTGCAATTTACTAGTTATTATTAAAACAACTTACTATTAGTAAATTACACTTACTTTTTAAAAGCAAATTACTATGTGAAATGTTTGATCAAATCTGATTAAGTTCGAATCTTACGAAAAATCATCAAAAAAAGAATTTTTTGCGTCATAAAAAAATTTGTTCTAAATTTGGCATTTGCCATATATTTCACAAGAGCACGCAGAAATCACCATTTTAAGATTGATGTTTGATCAAATCTGATTAAGTTCAAATTTTACGAAAAATCATCAAAAAAGAATTTTTTGCGTCATAAAAAATTTTGTTTTAAATTTGGCATTTGCCATATATTTCACAAGAGCGCGCAGAAATCACCATTTTAAGATTGATGTTTGATCAAATCTGATTAAGTTCGAATCTTACGAAAAATCATCAAAAAAAGAATTTTTTGCGTCATAAAAAATTTTGTTCTTAATTTGGCATTTGCCATATATTTCACAAGAGCGCGCAGAAATCACCATTATAAGATTGATGTTTGATCAAATCTGATTAAGTTCAAATTTTACGAAAAATCATCAAAAAAAATAATTTTTTGCGTCATAAAAAATTTTGTTCTAAATTTGGCATTTGCCATATATTTCACAAGAGCACGCATAAATCACCATCAATCGATTGATGTTTGATCAAATCTGATTAAGTTCAAATTTTACGAAAAATTATCAAAAAAAGAATTTTTTGCGTCATAAAAAATTTTGTTCTTAATTTGGCATTTGCCATATATTTCACAAGAGCGCGCAGAAATCACCATTATAAGATTGATGTTTGATCAAATCTGATTAAGTTCAAATTTTACGAAAAATCATCAAAAAAAGAATTTTTTGCGTCATAAAAAATTTTGTTCTAAATTTGGCATTTGCCATATATTTCACAAGAGCACGCAGAAATCACCATCAATCGATTGATGTTTGATCAAATCTGATTAAGTTCAAATTTTACGAAAAATCATCAAAAAAAGAATTTTTTGCGTCATAAAAAATTTTGTTCTAAATTTGGCATTTGCCATATATTTCACAAGAGCGCGCAGAAATCACCATTATAAGATTGATGTTTGATCAAATCTGATTAAGTTCGAATCTTACGAAAAATCATCAAAAAAAGAATTTTTTGCGTCATAAAAAATTTTACTCTAAATTTGGCATTTGCCATATATTTCACAAGAGCGCGCAGAAATCACCTTTATATCTTCGATCCAAATTTGTATGTGACTTTCAATTAATTATTTTTCTTCCTCAGGTTTACTAGGAAATTACTAGTAAATTTCTGCTAGTGGTTGCATCTCCAATTTTATGGTACTCTTTGAAAAGTGCTTCTCGTTCTTGATATGAAACTTTTGCTAAACAATTTGATTCACAGCCACAATTAAAGTTCTTAAAAATCTTAGCACTCTTAATTTCACCATTTCTTGACTCATATTCTTCTCCTTTTGCACGTTTTAGCTTATTTACAGCTTGTTTAGATAAATTTCGGTTTCTTAAACGCTTTTTTCCTGCCATATTGTAAAAAAACGACTCAAAACACCAGTAAAAAGTGTAAATTTAAATAGTTTTTCTTAGAGGACGACAACAGAAAATGACAACTGTTACACGATTTCGTTTTTTTGTTTACTGAGATTGAAATTTTCAAGTACAACATATGAAATTAAAAAAATAAAAGATTTTTCGTTTCAAAGGAAATTTTTCTTAAGTTTCATGTAAAATTTCAATTTTTTAGTAAACCTGGTTTATCTAGAAAATTCGACGATTCGACCGAAATAATTTTCAAATTTATTACAAAACGTTAAAAACATAAAAATAATATTTTCCATCAAAAAATAGAGAGTAAAAAAGTTTGAAAAAAAATATATTAAAAAATTTTATTTTTTGAAATTTGGGCAAAATTTTTGGATGAACCCAATAAAATTATGTGATTGAAACTTTAATTTAAACATCTAATCTCAGTTTTAAAAATTTTGTGTTTGCACAAGGGGACCCCTTTTAGCGAATTTTTGAAACTTGTTTCTCCTAATTTTCAAATCCATTTTTTCCGTGTGATATCTTAAATTAAAGGTACTGAAAAGGAGAATAATCGACCATAAAAAGGTTTTCATTTTATTTGGTTTTGAGTGGATTTAAGAAATATTTATGTTAATCTTGATTAATTTTAAATCGGATTTAAGGGTTTAATTTTTTTAATTTTGCTTTATTTGCGCAAAATGTTCCCAAATTGTCAAAAATGCATTTAAATTGCAAAAATCACTTATGATTGATAGTAAAAAATGAATTATTTTTTTTTGTTGAGAGTAGCTGGTCTTAATCCAGTAACACGGATTAACTAGTGTTTGATCTCCATCATTAATTCTGACTTAATTATTGTATTAAAATTATTTTGAAAAAATAATTGAAAATAGTGGTAATGATAATAAAAGGACAATATAATTTTAATAACCTTTTTTTAAAACACTAGTTATATTCACACCGTTTTCACGTGTGAATCTGCTGGTTTTGTTCAGATTGAAAAATCAGTTTTTCGAATTTAAGGAAGAAATCGAGCAAGATAGCTTAACATGTCCAAAGATGAAAAGTTTGTGCCTGAAATTTCACATCTTCTGCAAAAAAAACAGATTTAAAATTTAGATCCGTGCTGCTTTATAGAAGAGCTGCATTGTTTTTGGGCAAGGTAGGAACAGCCATTGCTTCAAAAAAAAGCAAAAAACTTTCATTTCTTACGACTTTTTAAAAAACCAAAGTTTACTGTTATTTTTATAAATTTAAATTTTAGATGAAAAAATTAAAAAAAACTTTTAAGGAATGTTCGTTAAGCTTTAAACCTTCAAACATATGCTGAGCGAAGCTCAACTGACTCGCTAGTTTTATACCTTCAAACTTATGTTAAGCGTTCTAGTTTACAAACCTATGCTGTGCGATAGCACTGCTGATCAATGAAGACGTTCTATGATAAGAGTTCATAGTCGCTTATGCTGTGACTCGTCAAGCTTTATACCCCCAAACATAAACTGAGTGCAGCTCAGCTGGCTCGTCAAGATTTATACTTTCAAAATAATATTGAGCTAAGCTTGCTTAGCAGCTTTGGGTTTCTACCCGATACACTAGTTTTCGTTTTGTGATATATAAATAAGAACTGTAATCTAACATAAGTCAAACGCGGAAGCTAGTGACTTTCTACGTAAGTCGTATTTTCTTCGTTTCTTGCGCACTTAATTATATCGATGTAATTTGATGGCAAAAATATTTCAGTTTGCAACTTAATTTTTCGCTCTATCAAAGCAAAATCGCGATCATTTGGCAATCTTCAATGGCCAGAAATTAAATACTTTACATCGATTATTTCAGCTTGCATTGTCGGATCGCTAAGAAGACGTAATAATGCCAAAATAATTTTGATATTACGATTTTGGCCTCCTGCTCTATCGGAATAAGAAACAATGTGTGAAGCAGATGACGCATGATCCTTTAAAAACTTGACCAAACAACTTGAAATTTCTTCTGGGCCTTTAGATCCCTCAATCTCTGACCAAATAAACATACTCGTATCCTGGCTGTTTAGAAAAGGATGAACACCAAGATTATATAAATTGAATTTTTGCTTATAATATGCAACACTTGTTGTTAGTACTGGAAGAATAAGCACTTTTTGGAGATCAAACGTGTAAACGAAATAATCATCATCGGCTCTCTCTTTATCTGAATCAAAAAGCCTCTTAACATTTTCCACATCTTTTAAATGCGCATCTTTTTGAGCTATTAATTTGTTTCGCTTGCCTTCATTCTTTGCATGTTGAATCTGTACTTTTAATTTGTCACATTCCGCACAAGTCTTGCCTTGTCTTGCAAGGGTACGTGAATTGAAATGTCGGTATCATACTGAATTATATCATAAAACTTTTCCTGGGTAACACATGGAATCTTATTACTCAAATTACAATGAGTCAGATAATCTTGATAAAAACGTTTTATTGTATAGTTCGGTGGGAGGTACTTCTTATTTTCATTTTTGGCACGACAATAATGCGATTCATACAAAAATTCAAAAAAAAGAACTTAATTTAATTAAGTCGCATTCTGATGAACGCCCAAGACTCGCACACAAACCTGAGGAAGATAAATAATTAATTGAAAGACCCATACAAATTTAGAGAGAACTTATAATAGTCATTTCTGCGAGCACTTGTGAAGTATATGGCAAATGCAAGATTTAGAACAAATATTATTTTCCTGCAAAAAAATATTTTTTTGATGATTTTTCGTAGGATTTGAACTTAAGCGGGCTTGGGTTATACTTCGATGGAACACTTTTGTTACATATTTGTAAAACAAACATTTTACATATAATAAATAATGATACATTTGATCTTCCATCGACTTCGAAGGAAGATTATATGGAACATTTTGGTTACTTGGTACGGATAGTTTGCAATAAATTCCATAACATCTGTGCAATCAATTTTTCGCGAAGACTGTTTTCCAGTACTTTGATGTACTAATTTGGATGGCTGGCGAATTTTAGCCCACCGTTGAATTGTTCGTTGTGAAAGCATAAAAGTATCCGCAAAGATGGTCAAGCAAACCTGAATTAAAGTTTTGTTTCAGAAAAATTTTACCAAAAATTTAAAATATGAATATACCTTTTCGTTTAATGTACTTCCCGGAATCACAGAACGCAATGTGTATTCAATATTAAAACTTCGTTTCTTAACATTTTTTCCCTGTCTTCGAACGATTTTTTGCAAATTTGTCATGCCTATTATAAAAATTTTTTGACTTGTTACCTACCGAGACTAACTAGCAAATTGCTAGTATTTCTATTCTACTTCTTGCAATTTACTAGTTATTATTAAAACAACTTACTATTAGTAAATTACACTTACTTTTTAATAGCAAATTACTATGTGAAATGTTTGATCAAATCTGATTAAGTTCGAATCTTACGAAAAATCATCAAAAAAAGAATTTTTTGCGTCATAAAAAATTTTGTTCTAAATTTGGCATTTGCCATATATTTCACAAGAGCGCGCAGAAATCACCATTATAAGATTGATGTTTGATCAAATCTGATTAAGTTCAAATTTTACGAAAAATCATCAAAAAAAGAATTTTTTGCGTCATAAAAATTTTGTTCTAAATTTGGCATTTGCCATATATTTCACAAGAGCACGCAGAAATCACCATTATAAGATTGATGTTTGATCAAATCTGATTAAGTTCAAATTTTACGAAAAATCATCAAAAAAAGAATTTTTTGCGTCATAAAAAATTTTGTTCTAAATTTGGCATTTGCCATATATTTCACAAGAGCACGCAGAAATCACCTTTATATCTTCTATCCAAATTTGTATGTGACTTTCAATTAATTATTTTTCTTCCTCAGGTTTACTAGGAAATTACTAGTAAATTTCTGCTAGTGGTTGCATCTCCAATTTTATGGTACTCTTTGAAAAGTGCTTCTCGTTCTTCATATGAAACTTTTGCTAAACAATTTGATTCACAGCCACAATTACAGTTGTTAAAAATCTTAGCACTCTTAATTTCACCATTTCTTGACTCATATTCTTCTCCTTTTGCACGTTTTAGCTTATTTACAGCTTGTTTAGATAAATTTCGGTTTCTTAAACGCTTTTTTCCTGCCATATTGTAAAAAAACGACTCAAAACACCAGTAAAAAGTGTAAATTAAAAATAGTTTTTCTCAGGGGACGACAACAGAAAATGACAACTGTTACACGATTTCGTTTTTTTGTTTACTGAGATTGAAATTTTGAAGTACAACATATGAAATTAAAAAAATAAAAGATTTTTCGTATCAAAGGAAATTTTTCTTAAGTTTCATGTAAAATTTCAATTTTTTAGTAAACCTGGTTTATCTAGAAAATTCGACGATTCGACCGAAATAATTTTCAAATTTATTACAAAACGTTAAAAACATAAAAATAATATTTTCCATCAAAAAATAGAGAGTAAAAAAGTTTGAAAAAAAATATATTAAAAAATTTTATTTTTTGAAATTTGGGCAAAATTTTTGGATGAACCCAATAAAATTATGTGATTGAAACTTTAATTTAAACATCTAATCTCAGTTTTAAAAATTTTGTGTTTGCACAAGGGGACCCCTTTTAGCGCATTTTTGAAACTTGTTTCTCCTAATTTTCAAATCCATTTTTTCCGTGTGATATCTTAAATTAAAGGTACTGAAAAGGAGAATAATCGACCATAAAAAGGTTTTCATTTTATTTGGTTTTGAGTGGATTTAAGAAATATTTATGTTAATCTTGATTAATTTTAAATCGGATTTAAGGGTGTAATTTTTTAATTTTGCTTTATTTGCGCAAAATGTTCCCAAATTGTCAAAAATGCATTTAAATTGCAAAAAGCACTTATGATTGATAATAAAAAATGAATAATTTTTTTTTTGTTGAGAGTAGCTGGTCTTAATCCAGTAACACGGATTAACTAGTGTTTGATCTCCATCATCAATTCTGACTTAATTATTGTATTGAAATTATTTTGAAAAAATAATTGAAAATAGTGGAAATGATAATAAAAGGACAATATAATTTTAATAACCTTTTTTTAAAACACTAGTTATATTCACACCGTTTTCACGTGTGAATCTGCTGGTTTTGTTCAGATTGAAAAATCAGTTTTTCGAATTTGGGGAAGAAATGGAGCAAGATAGCTTAACATGTCCAAAGATGAAAAGTTTGTGCCTGAAATTTCACATCTTCTGCAAAACACAGATTTAAAATTTAGATCCGTGCTGCTTTATAGAAGAGCTGCATTGTTTTTGGGCAAGGTAGGAACAGCCATTGCTTCAAAAAAAAGCAAAAAACTTTCATTTCTTACGACTTTTTAAAAAACCAAAGTTTACTGTTATTTTTATAAATTTAAACTTTAGATGAAAAAATAAAAAAAAAACTTTTAAGGAATGTTCGTTAAGCTTTAAACCTTCAAACATATGCTGAGCGAAGCTCAACTGACTCGCTAGTTTTATACCTTCAAACTTATGTTAAGCGTTCTAGTTTACAAACTTATGCTGTGCGATAGCACAGCTGATCAATGAAGACGTTCTATGATAAGAGTTCATAGTCGCTTATGCTGTGACTCGTCAAGCTTTATACCCCCAAACATAAACTGAGTGCAGCTCAGCTGGCTCGTCAAGATTTATACTTTCAAAATAATATTGAGCTTAGCTTGCTTAGCAGCTTTGGGTTTCTACCCGATACACTAGTTCTCGTTTTGTGATATATAAATAAGAACTGTAATCTAACATAAGTCAAACGCGGAAGCTAGTGACTTTCTACGTAAGTCGTATTTTCTTCGTTTCTTGCGCACTTAATTATATCGATGTAATTTGATGGCAAAAATATTTCAGTTTGCAACTTAATTTTTCGCTCTATCAAAGCAAAATCGCGATCATTTGGCAATCTTCAATGGCCAGAAATTAAATACTTTACATCGATTATTTCAGCTTGCATTGTCGGATCGCTAAGAAGACGTAATAATGCCAAAATAATTTTGATATTACGATTTTGGCCTCCTGCTCTATCGGAATAAGAAACAATGTGTGAAGCTGATGACGCATGATCCTTTAAAAACTTGACCAAACAACTTGAAATTTCTTCTGGGCCTTTAGATCCCTCAATCTCTGACCAAATAAACATACTCATATCCTGGCTGTTAGGAAAAGGATGAACACCAAGATTATATAAATTGAATTTTTGCTTATAATATGCAACACTTGTTGTTAGTACTGGAAGAATAAGCACTTTTTGGAGATCAAACGTGTAAACGAAATAATCATCATCGGCTCTCTCTTTATCTGAATCAAAAAGCCTCTTAACATTTTCCACATCTTTTAAATGCGCATCTTTTTGAGCTATTAATTTGTTTCGCTTGCCTTCATGAATGTTGAATCTGTACTTTTAATTTGTCACATTCCGCACAAGTCTTGCCTTGTCTTGCAAGGGTACGTGAATTGAAATGTCGGTATCATACTGAATTATATCATAAAACTTTTCCTGGGTAACACATGGAATCTTATTACTCAAATTACAATGAGTCAGATAATCTTGATAAAAACGTTTTATTGTATAGTTCGGTGGGAGGTACTTCTTATTTTCATTTTTGGCACGACAATAATGCGATTCATACAAAAATTCAAAAAAAGGACTTAATATAATTAAGTCGCATTCTGATGAACGCCCAAGACTCGCACACAAACCTGAGGAAGATAAATAATTAATTGAAAGACCCATACAAATTTAGAGAGAACTTATAATAGTCATTTCTGCGAGCACTTGTGAAGTATATGGCAAATGCAAGATTTAGAACAAATATTATTTTCCTGCAAAAAAATATTTTTTTGATGATTTTTCGTAGGATTTGAACTTAAGCGGGCTTGGGTTATACTTCGATGGAACACTTTTGTTACATATTTGTAAAACTTACATTTTACATATAATAAATAATGATACATTTGATCTTCCATCGACTTCGAAGGAAGATTATATGGAACATTTTGGTTACTTGGTACGGATAGTTTGCAATAAATTCCATAACATCTGTGCAATCAATTTTTCGCGAAGACTGTTTTCCAGTACTTTGATGCACTAATTTGGATGGCTGGCGAATTTTAGCCCACCGTTGAATTGTTCGTTGTGAAAGCATAAAAGTATCCGCAAAGAAGGTCAAGCAAACCTGAATTAAAGTTTTGTTTCAGAAAAGTTTTACCAAAAATTTAAAATATGAATATACCTTTTCGTTTAATGTACTTCCCGGAATCACAGAACGCAATGTGTATTCAATATTAAAACTTCGTTTCTTAACATTTTTTCCCTGTCTTCGAACGATTTTTTGCAAATTTGTCATGCCTTCTATAAAAATTTTTTTGACTTGTTACATCTCCAATTTTATGGTACTCTTTGAAAAGTGCTTCTCGTTCTTCATATGAAACTTTTGCTAAACAATTTGATTCACAGCCACAATTACAGTTGTTAAAAATCTTAGCACTCTTAATTTCACCATTTCTTGACTCATATTCTTCTCCTTTTGCACGTTTTAGCTTATTTACAGCTTGTTTTGATAAATTTTGGTTTCTTAAACGCTTTTTTTCCTGCCATATTGTAACACACGACTCAAAACACCAGTAAAAAGTGTAAATTAAAAATAGTTTTTCTTAGATGACGACAACAGAAAATGACAACTGTTATCAGATTTCGTTTTTTTGTATACTGAGATTGAAATTTTCAAGTAAACAACTAACCTGGAAGCTTTGTGATCGAGATCAAAAAGGACTGACAAGGAGCAAAAAATGTAACAACTGAGAGTTGGGATGACTACGAAGAGTTCATTCAACTACTCAAAGACAAAAATCAGACATGGAAATCAGAAAGTTGGAGAAGGAACTTCAAATGGAAAAAATCGAACCAGCTTCAGGATAGATGTAGGACAAGGTGGAAACTTCCTGGAATTCGTCAGAAAAATCAAAACTGTCGGTGGCTTCAAAATAAAATGGGTAGACTACCAAATTAGGCAAGATGTATGCAAGATGTGTAAGTAGGCCGACTGTATGCTTCAGATGCTCTGAGAAACATGACTCGAAAACTTGCCAGTACATATCAAAAGAGACCAACAAGGTTCCACTTGAAAAACTCAAATGTCACTTCTGCGGAGAAAAAACACAGAAATTGCTGTCAGCAATTTTCACCGGCTGTAAAACCAGGAAAGAAATAATAGAGAAGTGGAAAGCAAAATCAAAAAATGGAAACAACCGAAATCAAAACAAGCTAGCAGATCGCTATCCTCAAGAACAATCTGGTCAACGGACTTATCATCGACAAGAACAATCAAACGGACCAGTTCAGCAGACGCCAAAATCCCAATCGAGAAAGGATCTTGTGGTTCCATCAACATCTGGAAGACAACAGCCAGCTTATCAAAAACAACCTCCAGTCAACCAAAAAACAAAGAACACAAATCCTTTTTCAAATCAAAAACCTTCAAATAAGCAAACCAACAAAAAATGGCAGAAAAAGAAGGATTATAGAAGAAGAAAAAGGGGAAACAAGCAAAACAGTAAAAACATTCTTCAAGACCACTGACGAAGTCTTCCCTGAGTCTTCATACAATAGCACATCGAGTAATCAACAAGCACAGAGCACCATCACAAGCGATGAAAGTATAGCAGAATCAGTGAATTCAAAATGCAGGCTTCTAATCATCGAGCTCGTTAAATTCCTCACCGAAAATCCCGACTGTAAGGAACAGTTGATACAAGCAATCGGCTCAACCAACAGCCAAAATCAACACAAACAATAATGGATTGTTGTCAACAACGCATCAACGTCCTCTACTGGAATGCTAACGGCCTGACCAACAAAATGTTAGCATTTCTCGACTACCTAAGCAAGCAAAACGTCGATGTTGCTTGCATCTCAGAAACATTCTTAAAACCAAACTCAAAATTGACTCGCATCCGGACTACGTTATTCATCGATTGGAAAAAAATATTTCAGTTTGCAACTTAATTTTTCGCTCTATCAAAGCAAAATCGCGATCATTTGGCAATCTTCAATGGCCAGAAATTAAATACTTTACATCGATTATTTCAGCTTGCATTTTCGGATCGCTAAGAAGACGTAATAATGCCAAAATAATTTTGATATTACGATTTTGGCCTCCTGCTCTATCGAAACAATGTGTGAAGCAGATGACGCATGATCCTTTAAAAACTTGACCAAACAACTTGAAATTTCTTCTTGGCCTTTAGATCCCTCAATCTCTGACCAAATAAACATACTCGTATCCTGGTTGTTTAGAAAAGGATGAACACCAAGATTATATAAATTGAATTTTTGCTTATAATATGCAACACTTGTTGTTAGTACTGGAAGAATAAGCACTTTTTGGAGATCAAACGTGTAAACGAAATAATCATCATCGGCTCTCTCTTTATCTGAATCAAAAAGCCTCTTAACATTTTCCACATCTTTTAAATGCGCATCTTTTTGAGCTATTAATTTGTTTCGCTTGCCTTCATTCTTTGCATGTTGAATCTGTACTTTTAATTTGTCACATTCCGCACAAGTCTTGCAAGGGTACGTGAATTGAAATGTCGGTATCATACTGAATTATATCATAAAACTTTTCCTGGGTAACACATGGAATCTTATTACTCAAATTACAATGAGTCAGATAATCTTCATAAAAACGTTTTATTGTATAGTTCGGTGGGAGGTACTTCTTATTTTCATTTTTGGCACGACAATAATGCGATTCATACAAAAATTCAAAAAAAGGACTTAATTTAATTAAGTCGTATTCTGATGAACGCCCAAGACTCTCACACAAACCTGAGGAAGATAAATAATTAATTGAAAGACCCATACAAATTTAGAGAGAACTTATAATAGTCATTTCTGCGAGCACTTGTGAAGTATATGGCAAATGCAAGATTTAGAACAAATATTATTTTCCTGCAAAAAAATATTTTTTTGATGATTTTTCGTAGGATTTGAACTTAAGCGAGCTTGGGTTATACTTCAATGGAACACTTTTGTTACATATTTGTAAAACAAACATTTTACATATAATAAATAATGATACATTTGATCTTCCATCGACTTCGAAGGAAGATTATATGGAACATTTTGGTTACTTGGTACGGATAGTTTGCAATAAATTCCATAACATCTGTGCAATCAATTTTTCGCGAAGACTGTTTTCCAGTACTTTGATGTACTAATTTGGATGGCTGGCGAATTTTAGCCCACCGTTGAATTGTTCGTTGTGAAAGCATAAAAGTATCCGCAAAGATGGTCAAGCAAACCTGAATTAAAGTTTTGTTTCAGAAAAATTTTACCAAAAATTTAAAATATGAATATACCTTTTCGTTTAATGTACTTCCCGGAATCACAGAACGCAATGTGTATTCAATATTAAAACTTCGTTTCTTAACATTTTTTCCCTGTCTTCGAACGATTTTTTGCAAATTTGTCATGCCTTCTATAAAAATTTTTTTGACTTGTTACATCTCCAATTTTATGGTACTCTTTGAAAAGTGCTTCTCGTTCTTCATATGAAACTTTTGCTAAACAATTTGATTCACAGCCACAATTACAGTTGTTAAAAATCTTAGCACTCTTAATTTCACCATTTCTTGACTCATATTCTTCTCCTTTTGCACGTTTTAGCTTATTTACAGCTTGTTTTGATAAATTTTGGTTTCTTAAACGCTTTTTTTCCTGCCATATTGTAACACACGACTCAAAACACCAGTAAAAAGTGTAAATTTAAATAGTTTTTCTTAGATGACGACAACAGAAAATGACAACTGTTATCAGATTTCGTTTTTTTGTATACTGAGATTGAAATTTTCAAGTAAACAACTAACCTGGAAGCTTTGTGATCGAGATCAAAAAGGACTGACAAGGAGCAAAAAATGTAACAACTGAGAGTTGGGATGACTACGAAGAGTTCATTCAACTACTCAAAGACAAAAATCAGACATGGAAATCAGAAAGTTGGAGAAGGAACTTCAAATGGAAAAAATCGAACCAGCTTCAGGATAGATGTAGGACAAGGTGGAAACTTCCTGGAATTCGTCAGAAAAATCAAAACTGTCGGTGGCTTCAAAATAAAATGGGTAGATTACCAAATTAGGCAAGATGTATGCAAGATGTGTAAGTAGGCCGACTGTATGCTTTAGATGCTCTGAGAAACATGACTCGAAAACTTGCCAGTACATATCAAAAGAGACCAACAAGGTTCCACTTGAAAAACTCAAATGTCACTTCTGCGGAGAAAAAACACAGAAATTGCTGTCAGCAATTTTCACCGGCTGTAAAACCAGGAAAGAAATAATAGAGAAGTGGAAAGCAAAATCAAAAAATGGAAACAACCGAAATCAAAACAAGCTAGCAGATCGCTATCCTCAAGAACAATCTGGTCAACGGACTTATCATCGACAAGAACAATCAAACGGACCAGTTCAGCAGACGCCAAAATCCCAATCGAGAAAGGATCTTGTGGCTCCATCAACATCTGGAAGACAACAGCCAGCTTATCAAAAACAACCTCCAGTCAACCAAAAAACAAAGAACACAAATCCTTTTTCAAATCAAAAACCTTCAAATAAGCAAACCAACAAAAAATGGCAGAAAAAGAAGGATTATAGAAGAAGAAAAAGGGGAAACAAGCAAAACAGTAAAAAACATTCATCAAGACCACTGACGAAGTCTTCCCTGAGTCTTCATACAATAGCACATCGAGTAATCAACAAGCACAGAGCACCATCACAAGCGATGAAAGTATAGCAGAATCAGTGAATTCAAAATGCAGGCTTCTAATCATCGAGCTCGTTAAATTCCTCACCGAAAATCCCGACTGTAAGGAACAGTTGATACAAGCAATCGGCTCAACCAACAGCCAAAATCAACACAAACAATAATGGATTGTTGTCAACAACGCATCAACGTCCTCTACTGGAATGCTAACGGCCTGACCAACAAAATGTTAGCATTTCTCGACTACCTAAGCAAGCAAAACGTCGATGTTGCTTGCATCTCAGAAACATTCTTAAAACCAAACTCAAAATTGACTCAAGGAACAACACAAAATTAATGGAATGCATTGGGATGTTGGTTTATAGTTCCGGACATGATTAAATGCAACTGAATCTTGGCTTATTTTCTGTTGGATCTATGTTTTTGGTTGCAGACTTGACTTGAATAAGAATTAACTGATCTACGCGAGGAAAATGCGCTTATTTTGTCCGTTCACATCTGTAACGGCGACTTCTACACTAGTTGTCAATCCTCTTTAACAGCAAGGTCTTGTGAAATAGCTAGCATCATCGTTACTTTCATCCGATTTTAAGTTTATTTAGAAGCTATGAAATTCAACTGGTATGTATTGAAGCAGGTCAAGAATATCTTTCTTTTTTGCAGAAGAAATACATCGTTCATTTGGATATGACAAATTAGGGATTACTTGAAATAAATTAATCAGTTCGTTTCCACGTTTTGAGATGTCAATCACCGAGAAATCTTCATCAAGAAAACTGTTCTTAAATTTTATTTGAAATGGATGTTGTTTTTCCAGCCGAATCCAAGAAATATTCATCCAGTTTACTTTAGTCTTATTAATTGTAACTCGTCTATTAGTGATTGAAGACTCAAGTTTCTTTGTTGAAAAAAAATCTTGCCGTGACATCGAGTTTACCTTAAATTCTTCGTTTCTTGTGCTCTTAATTATATCGATGGAATTTGATGGCAAAAATATTTCACATTGCAACTTAATTTTTCGCTCTATCAAAGCAAAATCGCGATCATTTGGCAATCTTCAATGGCCAGAAATTAAATACTTTACATCGATTATTTCAGCTTGCATTGTCGGATCGCTAAGAAGACGTAATAATGCTTCTAATAATGATCCTTTAAAAACTTGACCAAACAACTTGAAATTTCTTCTGGGCCTTTGGATCCCTCAATCTCTGACCAAATAAACATACTCGTATCCTGGTTGTTTAGAAAAGGATGAACACCAAGATTATATAAATTGAATTTTTGCTTATAATATGCAACACTTGTTGTTAGTACTGGAAGAATAAGCACTTTTTGGAGATCAAACGTGTAAACGAAATAATCATCATCGGCTCTCTCTTTATCTGAATCAAAAAGCCTCTTAACATTTTCCACATCTTTTAAATGCGCATCTTTTTGAGCTATTAATTTGTTTCGCTTGCCTTCATTCTTTGCATGTTGAATCTGTACTTTTAATTTGTCACATTCCGCACAAGTCTTGCCTTGTCTTGCAAGGGTACGTGAATTGAAATGTCGGTATCATACTGAATTATATCATAAAACTTTTCCTGGGTAACACATGGAATCTTATTACTCAAATTACAATGAGTCAGATAATCTTCATAAAAACGTTTTATTGTATAGTTCGGTGGGAGGTACTTCTTATTTTCATTTTTGGCACGACAATAATGCGATTCATACAAAAATTCAAAAAAAGGACTTAATATAATTAAGTCGTATTCTGATGAACGCCCAAGACTCGCACACAAACCTGAGGAAGATAAATAATTAATTGAAAGACCCATACAAATTTAGAGAGAACTTATAATAGTCATTTCTGCGAGCACTTGTGAAGTATATGGCAAATGCAAGATTTAGAACAAATATTATTTTCCTGCAAAAAAATATTTTTTTGATGATTTTTCGTAGGATTTGAACTTAAGCGAGCTTGGGTTATACTTCAATGGAACACTTTTGTTACATATTTGTAAAACAAACATTTTACATATAATAAATAATGATACATTTGATCTTCCATCGACTTCGAAGGAAGATTATATGGAACATTTTGGTTACTTGGTACGGATAGTTTGCAATAAATTCCATAACATCTGTGCAATCAATTTTTCGCGAAGACTGTTTTCCAGTACTTTGATGTACTAATTTGGATGGCTGGCGAATTTTAGCCCACCGTTGAATTGTTCGTTGTGAAAGCATAAAAGTATCCGCAAAGATGGTCAAGCAAACCTGAATTAAAGTTTTGTTTCAGAAAAATTTTACCAAAAATTTAAAATATGAATATACCTTTTCGTTTAATGTACTTCCCGGAATCACAGAACGCAATGTGTATTCAATATTAAAACTTCGTTTCTTAACATTTTTTCCCTGTCTTCGAACGATTTTTTGCAAATTTGTCATGCCTTCTATAAAAATTTTTTTGACTTGTTACATCTCCAATTTTATGGTACTCTTTGAAAAGTGCTTCTCGTTCTTCATATGAAACTTTTGCTAAACAATTTGATTCACAGCCACAATTACAGTTGTTAAAAATCTTAGCACTCTTAATTTCACCATTTCTTGACTCATATTCTTCTCCTTTTGCACGTTTTAGCTTATTTACAGCTTGTTTTGATAAATTTTGGTTTCTTAAACGCTTTTTTTCCTGCCATATTGTAACACACGACTCAAAACACCAGTAAAAAGTGTAAATTTAAATAGTTTTTCTTAGATGACGACAACAGAAAATGACAACTGTTATCAGATTTCGTTTTTTTGTATACTGAGATTGAAATTTTCAAGTAAACAACTAACCTGGAAGCTTTGTGATCGAGATCAAAAAGGACTGACAAGGAGCAAAAACTGTAACAACTGAGAGTTGGGATGACTACGAAGAGTTCATTCAACTACTCAAAGACAAAAATCAGACATGGAAATCAGAAAGATGGAGAAGGAACTTCAAATGGAAAAAATTGAACCAGCTTCAGGATAGATGTAGGACAAGGTGGAAACTTCCTGGAATTCGTCAGAAAAATCAAAACTGTCGGCGGCTTCAAAATAAAATGGGTAGATTACCAAATTAGGCAAGATGTATGCAAGATGTGTAAGTAGGCCGACTGTATGCTTCAGATGCTCTGAGAAACATGGCTCGAAAACTTGCCAGTACATATCAAAAGAGACCAACAAGGTTCCACTTGAAAAACTCAAATGTCACTTCTGCGGAGAAAAAACACAGAAATTGCTGTCAGCAATTTTCACCGGCTGTAAAACCAGGAAAGAAATAATAGAGAAGTGGAAAGCAAAATCAAAAAATGGAAACAACCGAAATCAAAACAAGCTAGCAGGTCGCTATCCTCGAGAACAATCTGGTCAACGGACTTATCATCGACAAAAACGATCAAACGGACCAGTTCAGCAGACGCCAAAATCCCAATCGAGAAAGGATCTTGTGGCTCCATCAACATCTGGAAGACAACAGCTAGCTTATCAAAATACGATGATATTACGATTTTGGCCTCCTGCTCTATCGGAATAAGAAACAATGTGTGAAGCAGATGACGCATGATCCTTTAAAAACTTGACCAAACAACTTGAAATTTCTTCTGGGCCTTTGGATCCCTCAAACTCTGACCAAATAAACATACTCGTATCCTGGTTGTTTGGAAAAGGATGAACACCAAGATAATATAAATTGAATTTTTGCTTATAATATGCAACACTTGTTGTTAGTACTAGAAGAATAAGCACTTTTTGGAGATCAAACGTGTAAACGAAATAATCATCATCGGCTCTCTCTTTATCTGAATCAAAAAGCCTCTTAACATTTTCCACATCTTTTAAATGCTCATCTTTTTGAGCTATTAATTTGTTTCGCTTGCCTTCATTCTTTGCATGTTGAATCTGTACTTTTAATTTGTCACATTCCGCACAAGTCTTGCCTTGTCTTGCAAGGGTACGTGAATTGAACTTTTTTTGAACTATCATAAAAATTTTCCTGGGTAACACATGGAATCTTATTACTCAAATTACAATGAGTCAGATAATCTTCATAAAAACGTTTTATTGTGTAGTTCGGTGGGAGGTACTTCTTATTTTCATTTTTGGCACGACAATAATGCGATTCATACAATGGATAGTTTGCAATAAATTCCATAACATCAGTGCAATCAATTTTTCGCGAAGACTGCTTTCCAGTACTTTGATGCACTAATTTGGATGGCTGGCGAATTTTAGCCCACCGTTGAATTGTTCGTTGTGAAAGCATAAAAGTATCCCCAAAGAAGGTCAAGCAAACCTGAATTAAAGTTTTGTTTCAGAAAAATTTTACCAAAAATTTAAAATATTAATATACCTTTTCGTTTAATGTCCTTGCCGGAATCACAGAACGCAATGTGTATTCAATATTAAAACTTCGTTTCTTAACATTTTTCCCTGTCTTCGAACGATTTTTTGCAAATTTGTCATGCTTACTATAAAAATTTTTTTGACTTGTTGCATCTCCAATTTTATGGTACTCTTTGAAAAGTGCTTCTCGTTCTTCATATGAAACTTTTGCTAAACAATTTGATTCACAGCCACAATTACAGTTGTTAAAAATCTTAGCACTCTTAATTTCACCATTTCTTGACTCATATTCTTCTCCTTTTGCACGTTTTAGCTTATTTACAGCTTGTTTTGATAAATTTTGGTTTCTTAAACGCTTTTTTTCCTGCCATATTGTAACACACGACTCAAAACACCAGTAAAAAGTGTAAATTTAAATAGTTTTTTTAGATGACGACAACAGAAAATGACAACTGTTACGAGATTTCGTTTTTTTTGTTTACTGAGATTGAAATTTTCAAGTACAACATATGAAATTAAAAAAAATTTTCGTTTCAAAGGAAATTTCAAAGCTCACTTGAAGATGAGATTAAATGAAAAATTTCTTTAGTTTTCTCGCTCCATCAACAACCAAGAGTGCAACTTAAGTGAAACCCTGAGTGAAACTTAAGACAGATGATTGAGATTAATAATTTTTCATGATTGATGATCCTTCATAAAGTTTAAAATTTTCTTGCAAATTCATAAGTATAAAGCATATGTGAAGTGTTTCATTTAACAAATTTTATATCAAAAACTATTCACATAAAATGTTCACTTGACGTAATTTTTCACACAACTCATGATAATACTATTAATTAATTATAAATGCTTTTTTGTGGTTTTAATTAATTCGAATAATTTAATTAGGATAATATCAAAATGAAATTTTTGTTGAACAAAAGAGGATGTGAACTTTAATGTGTTGGTTTTTGGGGAGGTTTGGGCTGATAAAATGGGATTAATATTAAAATAAAAATATGATGAAAAGCTTTTTATAAGCTCGTTGTCATGGAATATTTTAGTTGAATAATATTTTTATTGTATTTTGTACATTGTATTGGCTGGATGAGTTTTGGACGAGTTTGAAGTGCCGTCTGAAGTGCTTTACTTTTAAATTGGTGATTTTTGCTAAAATGGTTTGGTTGTGAAGTCGTCTAGATCTGTGTCTCTCAATCTTTTTGGTTTGTGGAACATTTACCTCCATATAAGAGATTTAATGACATACAAGGTCCCCATTGACCTATGAGGTCAACCTCTCCCTCGAACAAGTAGCTCAAAAAAAGAATTTAAGCTGGTTGTGGAACCAGTTTTAATTCTACTCGAGTTGTTCTAGAATCAAAAATTTATGTAATACATTTTAAGGATAAAAATAAAATTTGTCTGTGACTAGGAATTGGTTCCTGTTATTAAAAGAACCAAAACTTTACATGACTCTTGATGAAAATGCAAAGGCGCTTAACAGCAATTCCAAACGAAAACTATCCATAATTACATTCACATCCTCCATAACCAAGTATCTACCATCAACAATGTCAACAAAAATGTAATAAAATATCCACAAAACATGGTTATTAATATTCATAATTAAGAATTAAAAATTCTTTACGACCTCGAACAACCGAACCGATAATAATTGCACAAATAAACCATCACATTAATTTTGCATAAATTTTCTATGTAAATTGAGTTTCATAATTTAATGAGATATGCTCATGTTATTAATTTTGAATGAAATATTCCGAAAACGTGTTATTAATACATTGTCGTATCTAATGACACAGAATACCGCGTAAGATCAACAAATTTAAAACATTTTGCGTACGCTTAATTGTACTGACATCGAGATCAATTTGAAGAAGACACAGCTCACGTTAAAATTTATCAGTAGAATTTTCTAGGAGGACAGTGTTGTTAACAACTGTTGGATTGGTCTAGATCAAGGGTAAGGAACAGATAAATCACATTTTACTTATTTTTGATCATGTTTTTGACCATTTTTTATCATTTCTTCAGTTCCACACCCTTGGTCTTGATAAAGCTGTTTACGCAGACTTGTCAGTGACTCAAATGAGTCAGACAGACTTGTCACTGACTCAGATGAGTCAGATAAAAGCTGTTTCCTAATTTTTTTATAAGTGTTACAAGTGAAAATGCAAGAATGTAACTCCAGTTATCAATGAGCCTCATCTAAGCATAGCTATCTAATCCAACAACCCTGACATAAAAACAGAAGAATGAATATCAAAAGTCATGAGGCAGTAAACATCATTGAAAGAACTTGGCGCAAAAATTTTCACGTGACGAAGCTGTAATTATTGAATTTTTATTCATCATTTCTCTTATATTAGATTCCATTCTTTCAAATTCCATTTCAGACACACACACACGAACAAAAAAAGCATGCTCGGGTTAATGTAGCGGGAAAATGATTATGCTGAAAATGTTCAACGTATGTGAATATAATTATTCCAAATATTCATCATTTCCTAATATTACGGCGTACAAATATTTCTTACTCGCATGCTGACGCGTTAAGAAAACTTTCATTTACTTCTAAATTCCAAATGACACAGCACAAAAGTTCCAAACGTGTCTATGTGTGTGAGTTCAAGGAAACGAGAAGACATTAATAAAACGAAAAGATAATGTCATATGAGAAAATGGATAAGAAGTAGAAAATGAGAATTTTTCATCGTATATCTCGATATTTTTCTAGCTTCCTTATTTGGTTGCGCTACGCTTTAGTATGAATTTAAGGGTTTTAATAATTTATGCTAGTGGTTTTATGGCTGACTGACTGACAGAACGAGGAAGTAAATTTTGGTGAGGAATTGCTGAAGCTTCCGCATTTATTCATGTTTGAAATAACTTGTGTTGTGTGTGGTAGTTGCTTAATTAGATATAGTTTTTATGTTTACCTTACTAAGGCTTGGATGTTAAGGAATTATTTACAAATGCTTAGAAATTAAGATTGTTTGGTGATGTCTGGAATCGACTTAGAAGTTGAATAATAGCAGTTTGGTCACTTAGCTCCTTAAGTTTCCTTCCTTTTCAATGTTTACTAACCTTTAGCAGTTTCGTAGCTAGGAGGAGGGAGGGGGGTTGGTTCAACCAAAAAAAGCATGCTATTCTCCCCCAGAACCCCTCAAAACTTCCCAAAAAATTGCGTTTCAGCTCCTCACAAACTTACATCCTATTTTAATCATATCCCGAGTAAACAGTAAAGTAAAGACAAACCAGAGACAATAGTATGGAATAAGCAAGTATGTGCGTATGAAAAGCTTACGCATAATATCGAATCTTCTTCACGTAGTTGTAATAATGGATAGAGAATTTTATGTGTAAACAAAAAAAAAGTTCATCCTACATTTCCCCTTTACATTACATTACATTACATACAATATATGTATTTAGAGACGCACGATGAAAATTCATTTCAGTTTCAGACTACCTGTCAAATGACAGAACGGAATTTATGCTTATAATTTATTGTCAATTCGTAAGATCTACATTGCTGTATATGCATTCACATACATCTTACTCTTTTGTGTAAATATAATTTCTGACTATATATTTCTGTAAGTGCTGATGATGCCTAACGCATTTCGGCAGCTAGGGAGTCGGAAGAAGACAACGAAAATGTCTCGTGTACATGAAAATATGCCCTCCATGTATCATCATTTAATTCACTACCTGTCTCCATTAGGGAATGCTGCATTAGTTAACATTATAGGAGTGAATGAAATTCATTTAGGGAAAATTTATTTATTTTGGTGTTACTGTTCTTTTGACGGCTGGACCAGCATTAATCCTTATTAAGGAAATAAGTCAGTTCCTCCTTATCAGCAACCATACGCAATATTCTTAATAAAAATTCTAAATCTAAAGCTCTAATCAAAAGCTTTCAAAAGTTAAGCATGTTCCTTGCTATTTTCCCAACTACATGTTCATTATTCCAATGACACGCAGCATCTTCATCCAAAAAAATATTATTATTTTTCAGAAATAAAACAAAAATGCTTTTGCTGTTTCTTCAGCGAAACATGAATTTGTCACACATTTTTATCCTTCCTCGTTGCCATAAATTCATTCTACTTTATACGCAATAAGTAACAAGAATAATGTTATTTCTCTGTTGATGATAGTCACGTACGCTAACGCTTACAGCATCTCGTCCGCACTCGCTCTATCGTCTTATGCTACATATTTTTCCTCTACTTTATTCTCATCTCCTTTTTTTGCGTTTATCGATTTCCATAAATTTGCATTTACTGTAAACTTAATTGACAACGAAAAAGAAAAGAATCCAAAAAAGCATGGTTCGAATTTTAAAGACGATTAGAAAAAAGCTCCCATAGAGAGAGATACAGAACATCACTGAGACTTCCTTTCATGATGGGTGAGGAAGGTAAGACAGGGAAATTGAGTTGTTGTGGATTGTCAAAGTATTATTGGAGCGCTTCTGGAGTTTGGAATGGATTTATAATATACAGGTCAATGTTACTGGCATTTAGAGATCGCCTTTGTTTCTGAGCTTTAGATCGGACATCCTTTATATGTCAATTGACTTGAGTCATATGCAGGCGAATCTATAAATTCAAGATTTAGGTTTAAGTAGC